GGGGGGGGAGATATTCGGCGTGTTCAGAGGAGCCGACTTATTTAAAGGGCCACTCCGCTGACCTCACATGGAACAGTGGAGTTAATACGACGTATTAAGTAAGGCTTAGGGGACGTATCCGATTTATTTAATGTGAATGTTTATGAATTTGTACAACGAGCACAAAAAGATCACTTTACGCTGACGAGTAACGCAGATAATAGCGGCTACATTAGCGATCCGCCACAGCCAGTAAACTGAGACGTGACTGGTTGAACCCGACGGTGACGAGGCTGATCTGAGAACAGACCGCACTCTACAGGGAGAGACGCTACAAAGACCTTAAATCTGGAGGCCAAAGCACATTTACTGAGGCCAAAATGTAAACTTCTTTATAATAAATAAACATTAATGTGGCAGCAATATTGATCCAAAAGCATTATGGATTATAAAACACTGACAGGGACCGTCTGACTGCACTACGAGTACTTGAAGTAAATATTGCTGTAATACTAACGAAGGTCTAGAATGAGAACTTGTAGTTGAGTATTTTCAGAATAAGGGTATTAATGTGGAGCTGTGTGTCACCGGCTGAGTCCTCCCCGGCTGGGTAACCCGTGTCCAGTGCGTTTGTTCCTTTCATCCATAAAGTGTGTAGATGAAACTGGCTCCACCTGCTGGCAGCTACCTGGTACTGACGCTGCACAGTGAGAGAACATTTATCAGATGGCGCAGCTCTTTTATTATTCCTGCACATGAAACCATAAAAACAGGATGTTTCAATCATGTTTTAGTAGATTAGAATATTTTTTGATTTTATTGTCTTTGCCGTATCGCCCAGCCCAAATCTACACATATAAAACTCTGTTTCTAGTGACTACAGTTTCAACAACTGGTTCATTTATCAACTAATTCAAAAGAAATTAAGCAGCAATATTTTTGATAAATGAGTCTGGATGCACCAATGTATTCACTGTTTTATATAACTTTTATATAACTGAAAATATTTGTCATTTGAAGACAATTTTTCACTATTTTCTGACAGTTTATCCACTAAACTCTGGTCAGTCACAGCCTGTGGGGACACGCAGCAGTACAGATTATAGTAACGAACACAGAGCTGATGTTTGTGGAGAAAAATAAAGTCTTTCTGTGCCCAGAGGAAAAAACAGACCAACATTAAAATCTAACAAACTCCAACCGGCTGTAACATGACGGCAACATCTGGAGGTTTTCAGGAAGCACTGGGTCAGCGCTGAACACTGAGCTGCATTCAAACTATATACACAACCGATTCTCACAAACATCCAGAAACCTGCACATTAATCCTGTTTTTAGTTTGCTTTATCTCGTTAAACTCTTTGCAGTAACCGCGACGGGTGGTGGAAATGACACATGAACCTCCTGTTGTACAGTGAGAAGTAATCTGATAACTGATAACGAAGACTGCGTTCCACAGAGAAACCGTTCATATTGCCTGTTATTCAGTCAGGAACCAACAGAAAAACGTCACCGTGAGAAAGAAAGACACAAAAAAAAAGAAGGAAACCTTAAACAGGAACTCTGATCCCAACGTTTCACACGTCACAGTTCGACTCCATGTGACGTTAAATGCTTCAAAGAGGCTCTAAAAGGTTCTAAAGGTTCGAACTCATCAGTCCCACTGTTACGTTTTCAGGGTTGTTGCTCAAAGACACGTTGGTAGGATCAAACCTGCGACAGAGCAGTCCCACTGTGACACGGCTGACCCGCCTGACTGCTACAGGGTTGAAAAAGAGGAGGAATAAAAAAAAAAAAAAAGAGGAGAAAGTCGTATTCCACCAGTGATGCTGTGGGTCACCTACAGAGTCCATCTTCACCTCCGTCCACCTGTCCACCCGTCCGTCCCTGGATAAGGTTGGTGGTTGCCGTTGGAGACCACAGCTCCTCACTGACCCTCCCATCCCGCTCCTACAAACAGACAAAGACCTTTATTGTTTCTGCTGAGGCCAATCAGACGTCAGATTCAAGGGAAAGTTAGTCCGTGTGTTACATTCAGTGTGGATTATATTATAATATATATTTACATTATATCCCCCCCCCCCGACAGGAAACGGGCCGCAGCGTACTGTACGTAACACACTGACCGCCCCCACAGTACCACCCAGGACAAAGACATCACAGCGAGCTCACCTGTAGTTTCCGGATCAGAGTGAGGCTGAGACTTGGTGGCAGGGAGGGGTGAGGGGCGGGGTCACTCTGAGGCGAAGTGCACCTCCGGAGGGGGGGGCTTGACGGTGACGGGCTGGGACGTGCGACGGGGGGGCGAAGGCTTGGGCTGAGCCTGCTGCTGCATCGTGTCGTAGTACGTCACACCTCCGTAGGTCACCTGGGCCTGACCCTGACACACAGATTCAAAACCCGTCAAACTTTATTAACCAACAGAGGAGGTTCACTCACATTTAAAGGACTTTAAACTGATTGTCATTTCTGTTTATGAAGACTAATAAATCACAGTTAGTGGCCACTAACGAGGCATTTTGACAGGAGACATCAGTGAGTGACTGTAGAAACAACAAGCTTGTAAATATAGAAATGGTTTTATCTGGTATGGTTTAATATTATTTGACCCTTTTACTTAATACACCGTCCCTGTAGTGAGTGGAGTATTTGTGTCGCTGTATACAACCAGAAATACACAAACTCAACCAATGACTAACAGAATAACAGAGAATGTATAAATTATAGCAGATGATGATTGAGTTATTTAACAATTGGCGCAGTTGAAAGTTGTGAACGGAGCAGAGTGGGGGACCAGTATGTTGATGATTGGACGTCAGCTGTCAGAACCGGACCGTACCTGTGGAGTCGGGTACATGGCGGGGTAAGGGAAGGTCATCACTCCAGGAGGAGGGTAGAAAGGCGGTGGGAGCAGCTGCTGTGGTTGCCCTGGCGACAGAGAAACAGGCGGGCCTCCGTAGATTGCGGGGTTGGCGATCGGACCACCTGACTGGTGGGGGTGGAGACCTGAGGAGGAGGAGGAGGAGGAGGAAGAGCGATGAGTACCTCGTACAGAGAACATAAAAGTTAAACAGAGAGGAAAGACTCCACTGACCTGGATGGGGGATGTGCATCTCAGGCTGGACCAGCATGCCTTGCGGCGGGATGGGGGCGGGGCCATCCCCGTGGGCGTAGATTGGTCCCTGGTATGACACTGAGAGACAGACGGACGTTAATGTCTGTTATTATCTGACAGCTGTGATGTAAAAATATCCGATGAGCTTTAAAACTGACGCAGATAAACTGACAACGGGTCGGAACCAGCACCGACCCAGAGAGGAAAACAAACAGTGATGACCTTTACTGACCTCTGCTGGTGAGCAGGAGGAAGTGCTGCGCTGACTGAACTCACCTGTCTCCGTTTAATACTTTATCTAAACCCGTTTCCTTTTGTACGAGACCACGAGGAGCCGAAGCTTCTGAGTGGTTCTGGATCATTTAGAGACAAACATTACTGGTGCTGGTCTTACTGGGTTCGTAGTAGTGTCCCTCCATCACTCCCAGGTGCATGGCCGGTGCCGGCTCAGGTACGGCTCTCTGTCGTTGGGAGGAGTAGCGTTTGGCCCGATTGGAGCCGACGCCCAGCTCCTCGATGCTGGAGAACGGAGGCGGGCCGCCGGCGATGTGCATGGGGTTGGGGAGGCCTGTGGTGGGGGCCAAACATGAACCAGTTTGTACTGGTTGTACTGGGAGACACAGCGGCCATTTTATATTCTAAATGTTTCATAAGCCTTCAACACAACAGGTAATAACTGTCTGTACAGTTTGTACAACACAATCATTTCTTTACATACTGTACAAATTTTGAGGCCAAGAAAACCTCAATAATAATAATAATAATAATAATAATAATAATAATCCAAGCCTTTAATAAACACATGACATTAAAATGTTTTATATTCCATGTAGTGCTGCAGTAATTGATTATTACTTCATTAAAGAAATGGTAGAAACAGTAAACATTCAATAGAGAAAAGACTTTTACTTTGACAGTCCTCCGTCCCGTCAGTGCAGCGAACGTTCACTCACCTCTGATCTCAGAGCGCATGTAGGACGTCGGGTTCTGGCTCCAGCTCTGTTCTGACACCAGACTGAGTCGAGCCACGTCCTGGTCCAGCTCTGTCAGTGCTGCTGCTCCTCCTGCTCCTCCTCCTCCTCCTCCTCTCGGCCCGTCGCCTGCTCCCGCCCAGCTCTTCTCTGCCACGCTGCCGGGGGAGGAGGCGTTCCCCCCGGCTGCGGACTCCTCCACGGACGGCTGTTTGCTGCCCAGGTCTGCGGGTCGAGAGCGAGTCCTGCGGGCGAGGGAGTAAGACTTCCGCTCCACCGGCCGCTCGGTGGGAGGCGAGGCGTCCTGATTGGTTGCTGCAGCTGACGGCTGCGGGGAGGGGTCAGAGGTGGACGAGGAGGCAGATCCTTGACGCAGATCTGTCGCTGCTCCCTGCTTCTCCTGCTGCTGTCCCTTCGGCGACGCAAGACTTGTACCCACCCGGCTGTGACTATTGCGCCGTCTAGTCACCACGTCCTGTTCCCTAACGCAGACTCGCTTTAGTACTGACCGGCTATATTCCTACGTGAGATGAACCACCAGAGAGATCCATACCCGTTGGCACCCCGCCCTTAACGCACTCAACTCCCGTCCCCATGTTTGTTGCCTAGGAAAAAGATTTTGTTTAGATATTTAACTGACACCAACAAACCCCATGTTCTCTGTCTGTTGGATATCTACACTCCCCATTTATGAAACTTTACAGAGGGCCGGGGTCCATACTCTGATGGTGAACTCTGGCATTTTCGTGTTGATGAATTTTCTATTATTTCCTGTACTGGGTACTCTGACAGTTTGATGTGGAGAAGTGCATTTACTTGTATTGTGGTGGACGTCTGTTGCGGATAATAATGAATAAGGCAAGATTACCAGTTGAAAATTTTAAATAACAAACAAAAAAAAATACCAATAATTACATAA